AACGTTTCCTGTGAGCCCGCTTCATGTGTGTGCTTTGTTGCTTGGCTTGAACCTGCAGCATTGGAAATTTGGTAATGGTAATTGCAGCTTGATGACAGGGGCCATATTGTCAGTACTTACTTATCCTGGGCAAACACTGCCCCTGTGAGGCCGTATGGGGAAGTGCAGTCTATCAGCTGCAGGACGTCTTTATATTGGTTTTCTGGATAAACGTAAACCGCCAACACAGGTCCGAAGATTTCCTGCATCACAAGACAGATACGTGCGTGTCACATTTAGTTTAGTTTTAGTCATCAGTCAGTTGATGCAAGTATTCACATTTTCAGATATAATATTTTATTTGCCATAAGGAAATGGGTAGATCAGTCACCTGAGGTGCAGAATGGGAGATGTGAAAAGGTTTCGGGTTGTATTAAACCCTCTATGAATTGCTGGCAGTTCCTCTACCATTATATTGCTATTTTTTCTGGTTCATATACATATAGCTCCGTGTCTCCTTGTAGCACTTCCCTGAACGGCACACTGTACACAACATGCAGCAGTCAGGTGATCTACTGTTTAGCCCTTCCGCAACATTACAGCGCAAAAAGGGGCAGCTGTCAATCACCGTTTGTGTGGGAGGAGCTGGGGAGTCGCTTCCACAGCCAGGTTGTAAACTGCATCTGTGTCGGCACCTGGGTCAGCATGTACACCTGTAGCCCCTAGCCCGGAGCATGCATGTAAGGGGGGCTACACTGAGGCTACAGGGGGCCTAGCAATGCAGCGTAGCCACCCTCCAGGTGGAAATCTAGGGGACACACATTGTGGTCAGGGATTGTCCAGCAAAGTGATGCTAGGGGGGAAAAAAGCAATACCAGCAAACGTGCTGGAAGTATGTAACTATACATTTTTCACACGGGGTGTCTAATAACACTTTATATAGATTTTACACTCTCGCTGCAAGTTTACTTTCCCGGGTACAAGAACCCTCCAAGTCTAAAGCGTCGGAGGGGTTTGTTTTGTATCTGAAAGTTGCCCGTGTTGCTTATAACTACTCATTAGATTTTAATTGTCATCTCAGGTCAGAAGATAAAACCAAACATCTCGTGTATTGAGCAACGACAAGATTTTCATTGCTTCCCTTCTATAGAACGCTTCTGTCAGTGAGGAAAGCGGCTGTTTAGTCCTGTTACCTCCGACATTATTTTCTCCTTGGGATCTTTGCTCTCGATGATTGTGGGTTCTACAAAGTATCCAACTTTGTCATCGCAGTTTCCCCCAGCAAGAATGGTGAGGTTGGGAGACTCTCTGGCGTGTTTGATCCAGCCTTGTATCCGTCTGAATGACTAATGAGGAGAGACAAACATGTAAGATATGGAATATTAATTTTTTATTTTATTTAATGAGAAGATCGTTATTTGAAAGGATGAGCTGTGATAACGTTTCACCTGTTTGTGCTGCTACAGATCTATAAAGGTGAAGAAGAGTCTCAAGCAGCTCGTGAGAGGAGAGAGAGGGAAGGAAAGAGAGAGAGAAGAGTTAGGAGAGAGGGAAAAGAGAGAAGAGAGAGAGAGAGAGGATAGGGAAGTGAGAGGGAAGGGAGGAGAGAGAGAGAGGAGAGGGAGAGGGGAGAGAGAGAGGGGAGAGGGAAGTGAGAGAGGATAGGTAAGTGAGAGGTAAGAGAGAGAGAGAGAGAGAGAGGATAGGGGAAGAGAGAGGGAAGGGAGGAGAGAGAGAGGAGGGAAGTGAGAGGGAAGGGAGGAGAGAGAGAGGAGAGAGAGAGGAGGGAAGAGAGAGAGGGAAAAGAGAGAGAGGAGAGGGAAGAGAGAGGGAGAGAGAGAGAGGGAGAAGGAAGAGAGAGAGGGGAGAGGGAAGTGAGAGAGGATAGGTAAGTGAGAGGTAAGAGAGAGAGGGGAGGGAGAGGGAAGAGAGAGAGGGGAGAGGGAAGTGAGAGAGGATAGGTAAGTGAGAGGTAAGAGAGAGAGGGGAGGGAGAGGCAAGAGAGAGAGGGGAGAGAGAGAGAGGATAGGGAAGTGAGAGGGAAGAGAGAGGAGAGGGAAGAGAAGAGAGAGAGGGAAGTGAGAGAGGATAGGGAAGTGAGAGGGAAGAGAGAGGAGAGGGAAGAGAGAGAGGGAAGGGAAGAGAGTGAGGGAAGTCAGAGGAGAGAGGGAGAAGAGAGGAGAGAGAAGATGGGAGAGGGAAGTGGAGAGATGGAAGACATAGAGGAGAAAGGGAAGGGAGGAGAGAGTGAAGGGAAGAGACATAGGGGATAGGAGACAGGGACAAGAGAGAGAAGAAAGGGAAAGGGAGGAGAGAGTGGACGGAAGAGAGAGAGAGGGACAAGAGAAAGAGGAAAAAGGGAGAGAAGAAAGGGAAAGGAAGGAGCGAGAGGGAATGGAAGAGTCGATGGAAACAGAGAGAAGGAGAAAAAAGAGAGAGGGGGAGCGTGAAGGGAAGATAGAGTAAGGAGGAGGAGAGACTCGTGGATCATTTTTGTTTTATATGAACCGTTGGACTCGTTGATTCTCCTATAAAGAGACTTCAGTAATGACATCCTCTTTCACATCGGTGTGTCCTATACTCTAGATGTGACCTTACAAGTGATTGAGAGGACTATAAGGCTAAGTTAACACTTGGGCGGCAATCCGCGCGGTTTTGTGCACGATTGCCGCACGGTCAGGAGTCGCCAAGGTGTGAAACGATCGCGCTGTGGGTGCCATTATTTTCTAATGGCACCCCAGTCGCGCCGGGCGGATCGCACGGTTTCCCCGCCGCGATTCCACCCATGCAAGTGAACACGATCGCGGCTAAAAAAGCTGGGCGTCATGTGTCGCTAGTGATTGCCGCTCGGCTGTCACCCCCATTGAAATCAATGGGGCCGTGCAGCAATCGCTGTGTGCACTAGCACACGATCGCACGGCCCTGGGACACGCGTCCTGGGTGTCATGCAGGTGTGAACCTAGCCTCAGACAAGGACATGGCTTCTATCATTTTGAAGATTTCCGTTAGCTATTTCAGCACATAGAGGAAGCAGATAATTAATTGGTGATATTTACAACCTTCATTCTCTCCCTGGCTGACCTTCCAGTATCTCATTTGTCAAACAATACAGTATGTAGAAAGGTGACTTGTACGTTAACCAGAGTAGGACGGGTTCTTGTTGCCAGCAGCTATTACTGGTCACTTTCCCCCGCCATGTGTAATCCAGATTAAACGGAAAATCCCACTACTTGCCTTTTCATCAATAACGGCCGAGGTGAAGGTGCTGAAGTCATCGGCGGGCTGGGAATTAAAGCAGAGAAGGCAGATCAGAGGATATCAGCATCGTGCAGCTCATTAATATGTTCCCCAAATCTCCTAAGTGCATGTCATGGATCAAAAGCGGAGCCGAAGCATCCGCTAAATCCTCGCACAACCTTCAGCTTCTAAAATTACACTTCCCACCTGACAGGGAACAAGGACACTTCTTTTCAATTAACGCATCGGGTTAACGGCTACTTACAATAAATTCCTACCGCATTCCCCAGATCCTCCATTTTTTTTTCCCCCCTTAGTGCTTGACAAGGATAAGTGAGTCGGATGGTTCAGCAGGTATTAGTAGAGGCCTAACGCGGCTTCTAATCCCATCAGACTCCCGCTGAGCGCCGAAAAAAAAGGAAAAGAGACCCCTTACGAGAGGGGAAATCTCCACTCACATTTCCCACTTTGATCTTGGCGTGTTCCTCCAGCAGCATGGCTTTGATCTGGGGCCACAGAGAGTCTGGAGCGTAGAGCCTGGAGCAGGCCGAGCATTTCTGACCGCTGTATTCGAAAGCCGATCGGATGGCGCCGTTCACGGCGCTCTCGGGGTCGGCAGACTTGTGCACAAAATGGAAGTTTTTCCCACCGCATTCTGTGGAGCAAGAAAGGACATTTTTAACCCCTACAATGCCACGGCGTTGTGTGTCAGGTGGAGTGCTGCTTTTACGGTTTATGTGTCTAGAGTTTTCCAAAAGAATGACTTGTTCTTAGTCAGAATTGGCCGTATTTAATAAAGCCGTGCGGAGATCAATGATTGCACTCTGTGACCCATGGCAATGAGATTTTACATTTCACCATAATATGTTTGCTGTTTGGGTGTGATGCATATCTATTCTCGTCTTATTAATGCAAATCTTATTAAAAACAACAAGCCACGAACAAATTCATTAATATTTACCTTTCCTGCTGCCCACGCCGCTGATCTTTGCTCTCTTGAAAAAAGTCCCTGCAAAAGGGGATGTATTGCAGGGACAAGTCTATAATTTTGCCACTTTATAGATCATTGGTTCGACCTCATCTGGAGTATGCGGTCCAGTTCTGGTCACCAGTACTAAGAAAAGATGTCCTTGAGTTGGAAAAAGTCCAGCGAAGGGCAACCAAACTAATTAGGGGTATGGAGGACCAGAGCTACGAGACGAGGCTACTAAATTTAAACATGTTCACATTAGAGGTGAGGAGATTAAGGGGGGATATGATTTCCATGTACAAAATGTTTAATGGTGGTAGCAACATTAGCGATAAACTGTTTAAAATTAACTCCGTTACAAAAACTAGAGGCCATCACCTAAAATTGGTGGAAAAAAAATTCCAGCACAAGGGGCGAAGGGGGTTCTTCACAGTAAGATCAGTTAGGGTCTGGAACTCACTGCCACAGGCGGTGATTTCAGCAAATAATGTGGAATTGTTCAAGAAACTTTTGGACGATTTCTTAAGGGACCGTAATATACAGGGGTACGGGTACTCCTAGAATGAGATCCTAATAGGTTGGACTTGATGGACTAATGTCTTTATTCAACCTCAAATACTATGTAACTATGTAACTATGTTGGCTGAAGTATCTTTAGAATCTGATACTTCTGATAATACCCCCACGGCGTATGGTGGTTCCTGTGCCAGCACCATGTCACCACAAGACACAGCAGTAGCCATGTCACCATAGGACACAGTGGTAGCCATGTCACCATAGGACACAGTAGTAGGCATGTCACCATAGGACACAGTAGTAGGCATGTCACCATAGGACACAGTAGTAGCCATGCCCCCATAGGACACAGTAGTAGCCATGTCCGCATAGGACACAGTAGTAGCCATGTCCGCATAGGACACAGTAGTAGCCATGTCCGCATAGGACACAGTAGTAGCCATGTCCGCATAGGACACAGTAGTAGCCACGTCACCACAGGACACAATAATAGGCATGTCGCCATAGGACACAGTGGTAGGCATGTCACCATAGGACACAGTAGTAGGCATGTCACCATAGGACACAATAGTAGCCATGCCCCCATAGGACACAGTAGTAGCCATGTCCGCATAGGACACAGTAGTAGCCATGTCCGCATAGGACACAGTAGTAGCCATGTCCGCATAGGACACAGTAGTAGCCATGTCCGCATAGGACACAGTAGTAGCCATGTCCGCATAGGACACAGTAGTAGCCATGTCCGCATAGGACACAGTAGTAGCCATGTCCGCATAGGACACAGTAGTAGCCATGTCCGCATAGGACACAGTAGTAGCCATGTCCGCATAGGACACAGTAGTAGCCATGTCCGCATAGGACACAGTAGTAGCCATGTCCGCATAGGACACAGTAGTAGCCATGTCCGCATAGGACACAGTAGTAGCCATGTCCGCATAGGACACAGTAGTAGCCATGTCCGCATAGGACACAGTAGTAGCCATGTCCGCATAGGACACAGTAGTAGCCATGTCCGCATAGGACACAGTAGTAGCCATGTCCGCATAGGACACAGTAGTAGCCATGTCCGCATAGGACACAGTAGTAGCCATGTCCGCATAGGACACAGTAGTAGCCACGTCACCACAGGACACAATAGTAGCCATATCCATAGGACACCGTAATATGCATGTCACCACAGGACACATTAATATGCATGTCACCACAGGACACAGTAATATGCATGTCCCCACAGGACACATTAATATGCATGTCACCACAGGACACAGTAATTTGCATGTCCCCACAGGACACAGTAGTAGCCATGTCCTCGTAGGATATAGTAATATGCGTATAACGACCTTGTGGAGATGGTGGTGCTTGTAGTGATATCACGGATGGTCGCCGTGCAGAAATCAGAGTAAAGATAAATTGATCACCAGCACACACAGGAAGACTTCTTGTTCTGTGTTTGATTACACTGTCACATAATGTCCCCATCTGGGACAGGAAGTGTGTTGCAAATAAAGGAGAAAAGAAAACGAATGCAGCCACCACACCTGAGGACTCACGAGCTGCACTATATTACATTCTTGTCTTGGGTTCAGATACTTTTTCTTTTCTTTGCCGAGTGAAATAGATTCCAGAGATTCGTATTCCCGTATAGAAGGCTGTTTTTTAGCTGACGGTCTAGAATTTGGCGCCCATTATAGGACCTTCTTCCAACATGTGACTGCTCGACACATTTCATTCCAACATGTTTCCTTCTTCATGGCAAAGCCATCTGTGCTCTGACTCACAAGGTATCCCCTCCTTGTATACTCTTCTCTGGCTAAATTGTATGCCAAATATTGTAAACAAAACTCCTAACCTCACTCGCCCCATAATGTTACCTCAGGGCCCAGAAATTCCCACAGTGACTAGTCTAGAATGTTCACATTTGGCTTGTTTGTGCAATGACGCATCATCTGTCGGAACATTCCACGGTCCGCCCAA